GCTAGGGGGTGGGGTGGGTCCAGCACACTCACGTCTATGAGCTGCTTCACTTCGTTCTTGCGGAGGTCGCTGCTGATCTTGGCAGCGAGCAGCACGCAGGCGCCTGCGCACAGCTTGCGGTTCTGCTTGTTGAGCTTGCCTTGCAGGACAAGCTTCTCGAAGTACACGTAGGCCATGGACACGGTCACAGGCTCCAGGTTGCACTCCTCAGAGAGGTTCCGCATCTCGCGTTTTAAACTGCAGGTTTAAATGGAAGTCAGGTGCTCTTGGGGCTGCAGAGCACCACCCTTTCTGTGACACAGGGACAGGCATTTGGGCCATTAGAACAGCTCTGTTCCTTCCAGGCAGGCCCAGCCCAGCACTAGGGCCTACAGCTTGGTGGGCTAGCAGCATGCTGGTCTTGGGCTCCATTTGCCCCTTGGCTGGGTCCCACGGCACACTATCCTCTAGGGGCCACCACAGATGACAGAGTCCTTGTTCTCCTGTGGCAGCAAGTGGACAGTGTGGGACTGCGGGGAGGACACAAGTGCATAGATGTTGAGGTGTGGGTGCACTGAAGTAGCATCTGGACCACCCTAGGAGCCCTGGAGCTGTGTGGGGTGGAGGTGTTAGTGGGATTCGACAGGGCAGGACCCCAGCGAAGGGCAGTGACCAGGAGCCCTGCCTCAGCCCGGAGCTCTAGCACTTGTGAGGCTGTGGGCAAGCCACCTTGGCCCGAGAGTTCGTCTTCTACCAAATAGGGACAATGGTGGTACCTGCCTATGGGGTGTCCTGGGCACCAGTGAGGATGGCTCAGCAGCTGTGAGAAGTAATGAAGTGGCCCGACGGACAGAGGCGTGCATGTATGTGTATCTGTGTGTGCATGTGTGTCTGAGTGCACATTAGTGGCCTGGTCAGAGGGTGGGAGGGGGCATCTGGATCTGTAAAGCTCAGGAATCTATGGGAAATGGGAAGAGAGATCAATAGGACCTCAGAGGATGACACACATTAAAAGTAGGTTTAGGGGCCTGGCCAGGCGTGGCTCAGTGGTTGAACATTGACCTAGGATCCAGGAGATCGAGGTTCGATTCTCGGTCAGGCCACATGCCCAAGTTGCGGGCTTGATCCCTAGTCAGGGGAGTGCAGGAGGCAGCTGATCAATGACAACTCTCATCACTGATGTTTCAACTCTCTCTCTCTCCCTTTCCTTTCCTCTCTCTGAAATCAATAAAGATATATTTAAAAAATAATAATAAAGGCACAAATTAAGAAAAAAAGTGGGTTTTGGGGATGTCCCTGGGTTGGCCTTGGCTCTCCCTACCTCCTAATTTTGCTCAGTGTTAGCCTGACATGTGGGAACTTCTCCCGGAATGTCTCATTCATGTCCTTCTTGAGATCGGAGGGCTTCACGTATTCGATCACCGTGGTCTGCAACAGAGAGGGCAGCAGGGTGGGGCCAGGCCACTGTGAGGCAATTTCACGCAGCTGGGCCTGCAAACGTGAATGCACTGACCCTTCAGAGCTGCATCAGGCCTGTAAGAATGACGCATCGGGATGGGGGGCAGTGGAGCTCAGGATGCATGTCGGGGACCCAGGGTGTGGAGCACATGGGCTAAAGGCAGGGCTGACCCCAGGGTGGTGCTGCTAGCATTGCTCTCTAGCCTACTGCACGCCCCCTCCCCACAGTGCTACTGGTGTCCCAGAGGGGAGCATGTCAGCCTTGCCCTGGTAGTGCTGGGCTTCCCCGTGCTGGGGCAGTTTGCCCACAGCCCACCCACTGGTGCCGGGGGTGCAGCAGTGCGGGTGGGCAGCCTGGTGCTCACTGTACCATGTAGGAGGCGAAGATGAGGACTCGCTTGTGCTTGCCGCAGGGCCACTGCGGGTCATCCAGCAGGTTGGGGTTGTACTCCAGGGGATCCCCTGCATCACTCCCTGCAGGCAGAAGGCAGCCCTGACCCACCAAGAGGCACAAGCTCTGGTCCCCGGTTTCCATCAACCCAAGCCTCAGCAGAACCTACGTAGCACCCGGGGAGCAGCTGGGGCTGCAGGCGTTGTCCAGGAGCAGGAGTGATCCTCCTGGAGTCTGGGAGGGCTCCAGGCATGGGTGGAAGGGAAGGACATCCTGATGAGGATGGACCTGCCCTCCACCCCCAGAGCCATCTGTGGACACAGCTTCTCTCCACTGCCTGGTTGGGTGTCTGCTCCCTTCTGTCCTGAAAGGCTGTGCCTGACTCCACACGCAAGCCCGCCTCTGTTTAGACTGAGAATGAGGGCTCAAATGTGACTCACTGCTCTGCTGCCCCTCAGGGTCACTGGCCTGGCGGGCATGGCCACCTGCCCTGTGCCCGGGCACCCAGTTAGGGTACCTAGCTCCGTGCTGGTGGGCGCTGACTTGGCAGCAGCAGGTTTGTATCTCGACGCCGGCAGAGCCCGGGGGACGCTGGGACGTGGCTGGGGTGGTGGGCCGTGGCTCTCTGTCTTTTGTGCAACCAGTGCATTGGTAGGGTACAGGAACTTGGCATAAGACACAACCTAGAAAGGTAAGCGCATCTGGGTCAATCCTGCTCCTTCTTGCTGCTGCAGGAAGCCCCCCTGCAAAAGCTCCCCTCCTTGGCTCAGCTCAGGCAGGAGCTGGATGCTGCTCACTTGTGTTCTCAGTAACAAGAACATTCCAGAATGTCACCCCTGCCAGCCTTATCTGGAGCTGTAGCCCAGGAATGTTCTCCCTGCCTCTGATGCCCTTGACCTCTGACTACCAGTGCCAAAGGCCTGTTCTTATAGGACTGTGTGGCTTGCTCCGACTGGCCCCTTGCATTTTAGAAGATGAAAGGGAAGCACAAGCCCGGCTGGGCGTGGCTTAGCGGTTGAGCATAGACCTAGGATCCGGGAGATTGCGGTTCGATTCCTGGCCAGGGCACATGCCAGGGGTTGTGGGCTCAATCCCCAGTAGGGGGCATGCAGGAGGCAGCCAATCAATGATGACTCTTTCATCATTTATGTTTCTATCTCTCTCCCTTCCTCTCTGTGAAATTAATAAAGATATATTTAAAAACAAAAAACGGAAGCACAACTTCACATGCTCATTTTCTCCATAAGCATGAACTCTGCACACCTGCCTATCTGCCCGCCCACTCACCCACCTGCCCTGACCGTGTGCACAGCATTGGCTCTTGCCTTTCCATCTGCTCCCAGCTCCACACCTTCCAATTCAAAGACCATCTCAGAAGAAACAGACACGCCGCCGGACGGATGTCTCTGCTTCTGGCTGTCCACCCTCAGGTCACTGCAACACACAGCACTGAGAGCTGCTGTCTCCCTCTGCCCTTGAGTGGGCGGGGCAGCAGAGCCTCACCTCACCGGTTGTCCACACAGACTCGAGGGCACATGCAGCAGCCACTCTCATTGGAAGAACAGTGGCACTAGCATCACCAGGAACATGATGAAGAACGCCTGTCTAGTCTTGCTCCCTCCCTAGACCCAGCCACTTCCTGTTAAAATGCCGATTGGCAGTGATGTGGCCCTGTAACCCTGCAGTCTCACTGGGCGGTGCCATCCCCACCCTGAGCGCCATCTCCTTCTTCCCGGGTTACACACAGGACACAGCTGTCTGGACTGGTCACAAGGATGCATGGCAGTGTCCTCATGAAGAGGAACATCCCAGCACTGACATTTAGGCAGCTCAAACAAAGGTAAGATGTGGACACACCCCTTCCTAGAGAACCAGGAAATGGGCAGAGCTTCTGAGAAAATTTGGTGGTAGCTGATGTGCTGACCACCTTATGAGGCCATTGAGAGCCCATCGAGCCCAGCCCATGCCTCCCTGGCTCACTCACCTGACCCGCAGGCCTTCTCCATAGGGCAGGACTGAGAAGGCTGCACACAGGGACCGCTTGGCACAGATCAGCACGATCCTGCAGGGAGGGTGGGGTCAGAATGGGCAGCAGGTGTTTCCCAGGGAGAATTCCTTCCTGCCTAGACTCCAGTGATGGGAACTGCCACAGGTATTCGGGGGACTCTCAGGACAGGAGGCCCAGCAGCCAGGGCTGGGGGTCTGGCTGCCCCAGCTCTCACTGGTCCCCCACATGACGTGCTACACAGGAAGGGTCTTGACTGGCCCCATGTGGCAGGGTGGCAGCTGGAGGTCAGGACCTTAGTTCATGAGGTCAGGCTTTGGAGGAAACATGAGACAGATGTGTGCCCAGAGGGCTGTTTGGTTCAGGGAGCCCCTCCTCAGCCATCCTGGGAGGTGCGAGCCTAATAGTGTCAAAAAGCATCCTATTCAATGTCCCAAGCCAACGTGGCCCACTAGGTGCCCTCACATGGAGCTAGCGGCAGGAAAGTGAGCATTTCACCTCTGGAAACGGCTCTGCCCAGCCAGGCCCTAGTTGGCAAGGAGGACAACAGTGAGACTCGCCCCTTTTCTGGCTGGGATAACTGGGCACTTGGTGCCCACTGAGGGTGGCCTGGCTCTCAGGCCTATCCAGCACCTGCTCTTCAGCACTAGGCCCAGCCCGTCATGCTGGGGGGGTCCAGGACTGTCCAACCTACAGCCACCACTGGGAGGGTAGATGCCTGGCAGTGTGACATCCAGTGGGTGGCGGAATAGTGTGGGGACCCTTTGGGTCCAGGTGATGAGCTCAGATGCCTCAGAACTGGCAGAGTGGGGCATGAGAGGCAGGGGAAACTGAGCCTCCAAAGGCTGCACCTGCTGCCACTGCAGTGGTTTGGGGCAGCTGGGTTTGGGCGTTAATCCAACCTCCCCCTCTGAACTTCTGGATGAAACCAGGCCTTCTGTCCTGGATATGTCCCACCATGTCACCTGCTCCAACGTCCCTTCAATCAGTACCTCCTCTCAGTCAGGTGTCTCGGGGGTTCCAAGGAGGGAGGGGCAGTGGGCTAGCCATGGACCCGGGGCTTGGTTAATTTGGAGGGAGGCCAGTCCACTTGGAAAGGGACATGGATGAGCTGTGGCTCTAAACACCTCCCTCCCTGTGGCTCCAGGACAGGATGTCCCCTCCCCCCATTTGAGGGAAGACATGATGGGCAGCCCATGCCGGCTAGTACCTGCTGTTCTTGGTGTCATACTGTCGCATGTTCTTGATGAAGTGAGTCTTCTTCAGTCCCTTGTGTCTGGGGGACCCGGGTATGTGCTTGGTTCTGCAGGTGAAAAACAGGTTACTTGACCCTCTAGGACCTTCTCTGGCCCCCAGAACGAGGGGCTGTGGAGTATGCAGGGCCTTAGAGCTCTAGTAGGCAGCAAGCAGGATCTTTACCTTTGAACTGAAGGACATCCCACTGTGTCTTCTAGGAACTCAAGGGAGCAGCGCTGGGAGGTGACTCGCCTTCTGTAAAGAAGATGCCACAGGGCTCAGAATACACACCCGGAGGCAGGATGAAGGATGAGTCAGGCCAGGGGGCAGGCTGCAGCAGCAGTCCAGCCAGGATGGTGGGGCAGGGGGTGAGGGGGGGCTGAGGGAAGGAGTGCACCCGGGGTCTCTGCAGGCAGGTGTGCTGCCAGCTCAAGGGGCAGCAGGAGGAGCCTGTCGGGCAGATACCCAGTGTCCTGAGTCCCAGGGTGGGGGCTGTGGAGGGTGACAAGACAGAGGATGCCAGCTGAAGCTGGATGTCAGGGCTGGTGCCAAGAAAGGAAGCCGCCTGGTAGAGAGGGGACCATCCCTGGAGAGGTGTCTGTGACCTGCCCTGCAGGGCTGGGTTCGGAGGCCCCACAGAGCAGCCCCAGGGGACTTTCTCAGGCTCATTTCCTCAGGCAATTTCCCAGCTGTGCCTGATGGCTCCAGCATGCTTGGGACCTCATTTGCAGAGCCCAGACCAGCAGCAGGCCCCATGGAGGTGCTTGGCGGATGCCCTGGGCTCTTGGAGGCCAGCTCTGCAGTGCAAGCAGCACCCCTACTCCCCAGCTGCCTGGCCTCTAGCCCAGCTCGCTCCTCTGGTTAACTCCGGGTTACTGCAGGGATTGGTGCCACCCATGGTCCATGTTCACGCTGAAATCGGTTCCCAGTTGGTTTCACAGACCTTTGTCTGTGACTTTCTTCTACATTCCCTTCCTTGTGTTTCATAGGTAAACTCAATCCTAACAACTCGATCAGCTGGGCAGTTTTACTACTCTCAGTTTACAGGTGAGGAGACTGAGGTACAGAGCTGGGAAGGTGGAGCTGGGCCACTCCGCCCCCTGCACATGGCTCTGCATCCCAGATTCTGCCCCGCCTTGAGGAAAGGCTCCTGTCTGAGATCCGAAGACCACCCAGACTGAGTAAGGGGTCCAGGGAAGGGGCTGTTGTACGTGGGATTTGACCATCTGAGAACAAGTGGCCCCTCTTTAAAGTGAGAGCCCTAATATATCAGGCACCTGACAGGTGCCAGCACCAGTGACTTTGAACCCGCCCCTGGAGCCCCTGGAGCCCCTGGAAGGAGTGTGGCCCTGCCCACACCCTGACTTGACTTGTGACCTCTTAGATTGCAGAGACCCTGGGCTCTGTTAGGCAGCCCCACTGGAGGGGAGGGTAAAGGAGGGGCAGGGTGAGTAGGGGAGGGGCTGCAGGAGGAGCCGGGGGAGCCTGTTCTGACCCACCTAGCAGCCCAGAACCTGGCTATATTGTGCATATTAAATGTTGAAATGAAAACAACACTGTGTTAGAAATCTTAGGAGTAAAATAAGGGTCCTGGTGGCTTGTTCAATGACTGAGCAGAGAAAGCTGTTCCAGACTGAGCCCTGAGTGTGAGACACAAACTCCCAGCTGTGGACTGAGCCGTGAGCACTCCCTGTGCAACCTGGTTGTAACCAGGATCTCTGCTCGCTCACCTGGCCCCCGCCACTGCCACCCTCACTGAGCCCTGGACACTCATCTGACTTCACAATAGCCCCTCAGGCAGGTAGTGCTTAACTCAAGTCCATTTCATGGAGGAGTAAACAGAGGCTCAGAGAGGCCAGGCCATCTGCTTAAGGTCACAGAGCCACTGAATGGGTTAAACCACCACACTCACGACACAGATTTCAGGAAGAGAACCTTAGAATTCTCTCCATCCCTAAAAAACAAGTCTAAAGCCAGTAGCTAGCAGCCACCTTTGTTGGGCTGGTCACCCCTATGCACTCAGCAGCAACTCTCTGCTGAGGCCTGGGGAGCACAGAGAGAAATGGACGACCCCATCCTTGGGGCCTGTCTGTCACGGGAGGGGAGGGACCCCCAGACACAACGGCTTGGCCCTGAGCTTGGCAGCAGAGCCTAAGGAGGGAGAGATTCTGCACAGGCAGATGCAGCTCTCGAGGGCAGGAAGGACAGCTGAGTGGGGACTTGAAGACCAAGTAGGAGGGAGAGGCAAGGAGTAGAGGGACACAGGACTGTGGTGGGTGCAGTGGGAAACCCCAGGGGCACCCGACTCAAACCACATCCCACCCTCAGTGTCTTCCCAAGTTTGGGCCTTCCATATGCCCTTTTCAATAACAGGCAGCAGTGCCCCTCCTGCCAGCGTGGGTCCAGGGCAGACTGCTGTCTGTTCACAGGGTCTGGCCCACAACACAGGTGCCCCAACTGTTTGCTCAAGGGACACCTAAGACGACATGTGGTCTGCCCAGTACTCACACCAAGAGAGGAGAGCAAAACCAAACTTGCAAAGTACTCGATGCAGCCCTCCCAACCAAAAGACCCTTGGAGGAACCCCATCGCCATGATCTGCCTGAGGGCCAGGGGCTGGAGGCGGGGACACCAGTTCAGTAGTAATGACCTCTAGGTAAGAAGGGCCACCTTTGGACTCCAGGGGATGGCGGGCACCCTCGCAGGGCTCTGCACTCCGCCTCTCCAGCACACCTCCAGGGCCAGCCTGAGCGTGCACACCTGCCTGGCAGCTCTGTCCTGCAGGCTAAAGGCCAAGCAGTGGTCTTGGAGAAGGGGCTGTGACAAGCAGGTAGTCCAGGTGCCCAGGCCCAGGAACCCATCACTCCTCAGGGTGAGGGCTGCGGGCGCAGGTTACTCCAGGGTCACCCCAGGGTCCTGAGGTAGGGGACAAGGAAGAAGGCACAGACTGCAGGGGCTGAGCTCAGGGGTGGTGGTCGCTCTGGGATGGGCTGAGGGGTTCCTAGAGATGGTATCAGGGCAGAGTAACTGTCACCTGGGATGTAATAGGGCCAGGGAACACTGCTCAGAGGGGACCGTGGGGCCAGGGGCCAGCACAGAGGTAATGGGCCACCAGGGACGGGCAGCCGTGGCGCAGGGACAGTGGTCTGGCCTGGTGCAGAAGACTCTGAGGCTAGATGCCACAGGGGAGGGTCGCCCAGTGCAGAGAGTACAGGGGACATCAAGGGGCACCTGGCAGTCTGTGTCCAGGAGACTGATAACACTGTGCTGGGAGGGGTGTGTCCAGAGGTGACAGGCCTGTCTGGGGGCTGATGAGGGCTGACCTCATGTCATGGTCAGGGCACTGACAAGGTTGAGAGGACCATGACTCCATGTTCAGGACTGACAGAATTAAGGGGACTATGACCCCTGGTCTGGGGACTGACAGGGCCCGAGGGAACCCCAACATTCATGTCTCAGGAGTTGACAGAACCCCGGATAACTGGGCCCGGACATCTTAGACCAGTGGGGCCCAGGCTATCCCAGTCCTGCGTCTGGGGCTCACAGGGGATGGGAGGCACCTCCTGCCCCCCAAGTTCTGGGCTGACGGGTCACCCAACCTGGTGTCACGGGACAGGGCCCCAAGTGCGGCGCAGACGGGCCCGCCCCCCGCTGATGACCCCG